GGCCGGCCTGTGCATCCAGTTCACAGACTGCAGCCGCTGCTCCGCCCGGCACAGGGAAGCAGCAGGGAACCTGAAGGACGTGGTGTACACCTACCAACAGTTTGTGGAGGCCGCCAAGCTGACCTGCGAGAGAGGCTACCATGACCTGAGCGTGAAACTCTTGGCCCGTCAGTGCACAGCCCTCACGGCTGCTGTGTTCTCTTTGACCCAGAAGTTCCGGGCATCCACTGCCCTGTGAGCGGGCTGGCTTCCCAGGCCCTCCGCCCAGCCCTGGACACTTCCCTGAGGAGTCTCTTTCATTCCTCCACCCACCCTCTCAAATGTTTACTATTTAGAATATTTAAATAAATTGCTGCTTAATCTTAGCCTGAATCAGACAGAGTAATGATAAGTCTGGGTCAAAACATTCACTCCTATCCGTTCAACATACATTCACTGAATATCCTCTCTTGGCCAGGCTACCTACTAGAAGCTTAGGATAATTTTAGACAAATAAGACAAGTTCCTCCATGGTCAGGATGCTCAGAGGTCCTTTGGGGATACAGATAGGTAGTTTACCATCAGTAAAGTGTATATTCTAAAAAGAACATACCCTGAGGGTATGAAAGGAAGAGGTCACAAACTGTCCCAAGAAGGCAGGGATGAGGAAGGAAGGTGGGGGTCACCAAAAACCACAGTCTTCTCATACCACACTTACTTGGCAATAACTTTCACAAATAGGAGTAAATATATGTGCTATCTGATAGTTTCTACCTTCACAGGTTTTGGTTTGAAACACCTGCACCAGGAGGCCTGATGATCTTGGCCGCCTCGCTGCGATAAGCATAGGTTGCCACTAGGTGGCAGTAAGTTCCTTAGCCACGTGGCTATGCTCTACAGGTGTGTGTGCTCTGTGCTTCATCTGAAATTGACTGCATCCCTAAATCTTGCACCGTATTTTTGTTTTAGTCCGGCACCCAATCCACTGAGTTATACCAGCCAGTTGTTTTAAAGAGTTAAAAGGCAAACATGAAAGCCCATAATTAGGTTTGTTTTTTTAAGGATAATATTAGCACAAAATAAATATATTTAGTACCTTTTTCACTAATCCCAGTTGAGCCAGTGAGTCCCAGTTAATCTTGGTGGGACCTTGGACAAGCTATTTAACCTCTAAGTGCTTTGGTTTTCTCTTCTGTAAAGTAGTGCCTGCTCTGTAGGGTGGAAATCTAGTAAATGCTCAATCTAGTAAATACTCAGTAAGTAATAACCCCCAGCTTTATGGCTGCTTCTTCCAGTCTGAAATTCTTCCCAGGATTTTGTTTTCAGACTTCAGGAAAACCAATTTCAAGCTACCCTTGGGATACTTTTTTGCCTTGGCTTCTCTGTCCAGGCCAAAAGTAGTTTAGACACTTACCTTAGACTCTTAGAGTTCATTCGAGGGGTCCCTGTGGCCCTCTGGTGCTTCTGAGCAGTTGTGAACTCAGTGCTGCCTCTGTGCTCCCTAACTCCTCTAGGGCTCCCTAACTCCTCTCTTTCATCCAGCAAAAGCAGGAGCAGAGATGAAAGTGTTTATTCACATATCCAAGTGCGTGCCAATCAGCAGGAAAGCAATGCCTTGGGAGAAGAGAAAAAACATCCTTCCCATTCCCTGTTACCAGTTACTTGTTAACTAGTAAACATTTAACCAGTACTTGTGCCAGGAAAAGATGTATTTTCTTAGGGGCTTGTTTCTTTTCACGGAATACTTTGAATAAAATTTTTTTTTATTTTATTTATTTTTAGAGGGGAAGGGAAGAAGAAAGGGAGAGACATCAATATGTGGTTGCCTCTTGCATACCCCCTGCTGGGGACAAGGCCCACAACCCAAGCATGTACCCTGACTGGGAATTGAACCAGCAACCCTTTGGGTCGCAGGCCAGCACTCAGTCCACTGAGCCACACCAGCTGGGGTCTACTTTGAATAAAATTTAAGCAAGGCTCTTGAACACAGAGGTGATTTCATGGCAATGAAAAATACGAACAATAGGACACTGAAATTTAAAAAATTGTATGATGTTAAAAAGGACTTGAATTCTCTTACCAGCAGAAAGCTATGAAGAGCTATATAACTTGTTTACATAAACACAATCTATATGTTTACAAGTTTAGGGAAGGAGCTCAGGACTTCAACTCAGTCGGGGCTTGAATCCCGGTAGTGTTATTACAGGCACTTATTTGGGTCTCAGGTCCTCCAACTGACAAAAAGGAAATACTAGTCTGCATTTAGTGAGAGCCTACAATGTGCCAGATGCCCTATGGACATTTTCTTACCAACACAACACCCCAAAGTAGAGTTTGTTATATAATATACATTCAGCATTGTGAGAAACAAACAATTACAGAAGGCAGGAAGAAGACTGTGAAGCCTCCAGCACACGCAATCAAATGTTTGTTTACTTCTTCCTTTTCATCCTCTCCCTTCAAATCCATGAGTTTCCTTGGGTTGCTACAGTTTGAAGCTGGTATTTTGCTCTGCAGTTTCTATGAGGAGTACTAAGTCCCAGAGGCCCTGGGAAACCCCTCATTGCCTGTGCAGATGCTAAAGTACAGGGGGAGTTATCCTGTTTAGCACTTTCTTTGAGATACACAGTCCCCTTATGTGAGATAGGCAGAGTGGAACTGCCTACTCCACAATGCAAGAGTTACTTGTTGAATGACTAAGAAACTACTAGACATTTAGATTTCTCCTTCTTTTTCCCATCCACCATAATATTGGCTGATTCATTTCTCTCTACAAATATTTATGGTATGCCATGCCAGGCAATACCTGATGCAGGATTATGGATGTAAATAATTGGGTAAGAATCCTGTTTTCAAGTATTCTTTGTCCAAGAGATAAGGTGACATGTAGAGATAGAGACCTTCAGCATAAGGCATAGCGTGCTCAGGGCCACCAAAGAGAACACATAGAATGTATGAGAGCTCAAAGAAGTCATTGTTGGGTGGAGGCAGAATAGTGATCAGAGAAGCCTTCCTGTAGGAGGCAACGTTAGTTAGAACTAGTTTGTCAAGAAGTATTTTTGAGTAGATACTGTGCATCAGGTCCTAGATTTCATAGATAGGAAGGTAAGTTTTGGGTGTGTCAAGAAAGAAGAAAAATCAGTCACTTCTTTATTCTGTCAACAGATATTTACTCTGTACTAGTACTGGGAATACAATCATCAACTTGCTAGATGTAGTCCCCTCAAGGAACTTATAACTTAACTAATAGGAAAGACACAGAAAAAAAAAGAAGAAGATGACTAACTGATAGATGATATTAAAAAAAAAAAAAGAAGAGTGCCAAGGTGGGTGAGATGACCCCATCTTACCCAGGGTGATCAGTAAAGGCCTCTCTGAAGAAATAATGTTGAACTGAAGCCTAAAGGATAGGAGCCAGCCATGGAAAAAGTGAGAGGAAAGGGAACAGTATTTGCAAAAGTCCTTGGTGTGCTTGAAGCCTTTCAAGAAGACAGGTGTGAATGGAACACAACAAGCTGGAGGAAGAGTGACAGATGAGGTTGGAGGAGCCGCCAAGAACCAGGCTGTACAAGGCCTTGGGAAGGTCAGATTTTACAGCCAAGTAGGATAGGAAGCCACTGAGGGGTTTGCAAATGAGTTGGGGGGCGGGGGAACTGGGGGAGCAAGCAGTGAGACTAGCTAGAAGGCTTTTGTTGTGGGGAAGTAGCCATGAGCTAATGGAAAGGTAAAGAAACACAAGAGCAGTGGCAGAACAGGGCGAAAGGTATTGAATATGGTTGAGTGCAAGGTGTAGGAACTGGGAGGTGTGGTGGGAGCCTCTGAAGACCGTTTGAGCCTCTTTGCAAGCTCTGCTGAGTGGGAAACCAGGGCCAGCTTCTGAGCAGAGAAGAGACAGAACTGGGTTTTAGACAAAGCCTTCTAGGGGGGAGAGGGAAGAGTGTTTAGTTTTCGCATCTAAAAAATTGCTCTAGTGTCAGATAAAGAATGGATTGGAGCATGGCTTGTGGACGGGGTGGGAGTTGCTGTGGAAACAAAAGTCCAGAGCGGGCAACGGTGTGGGGCCAAGGAGGGATCTAACAGGGCTGTGGTTTCTTGGGTGGGAGACATTTCGGGCTCATTTATGGTAGGGTCTCTCTGAAAGGCTGAGACGCTAGGACTGGAGGAATAAAGGCAAAAATGGCTGATAGTTGTTTTTTCTTTTTTATCAGGACAAGGGTTGAGCCAGTCAGTTCAGATCTCTGAGCCTCAGTTTCCCCATTGATATGTGAGGAGAAATGGAGAAGGCGGAGTGGCCAGAGGCTAGCCTCACTCCTTACCTGCTCTGGCCCAGCTATCTCCGCTGTGAGCCTGGACAGCCAGGACGGTGAAGCGGATTGTGTGCTCTGGGAAGGGCTGTGTCAGCTCGTGGGCCTTGCTGGCTGTGGCGAAGCCCAGCGGAGGACAAGGAACCTAGGCTGAGAGATGAGAAGTGGTTCAAGTCTGGTTTCAGCCCAGTTTCACAATGTCGAGTCCTTGATGGCCACTAACGCGCCTGGTCACTTGCAGCAGCCCTGTAGGTCGGCAAGCTGCTGGAATTGTAGTCCCATGCAATAGTCGGGCAAACATGCTCCGAGAAGCGCGGCAACACTTCCCGCGGACGGAGCTCCCTAGTGCCTGGGTGAGGCTCGGAAACCCAAGCCAGGTTCCGATCCCAGAACACCGAGCCGCCAGGCGAAAACTACAATTCCCAGAATGCCATTCGGAAAAAGGGAGCAGGACCCGGAAGTGGGTCCGGAGGCGGGGCCCTACGTGCGCTGCAGCCGGGAGAAGTGATCAGGTAGGCTCCAGGCTTGTTGGGGGTTGGGGTGGGAGCTGAAGGGTCTGTCTCGATAGTGCTGCGGACTTTCCCGAGAAAGACTGCCGGGCAGCAGCGTTTAACAGTTGTATGGCGCGGTGTCCCACACCTTGGTACTTTCCCTACCAGCCCCTTTCGCACTCTCAGCCTGTGGGCCAGGCGGGGCCCACAGACGGGGTATTTTCGGGCCTGGGGTCTAGGTGTTCCATTGCCGAAGGTGCCTGAGGCGTGCAGCAGCTTCTGTGGACTAAAATTTAGAATGAGAAAATGGCTGGAGAATGCAAACAGAGGTTAGTCCTTCGCGAGGCGCCCAGGGATATGCTCATTAGATGGGACTTGGGTTAGAAAACTCAGAGATGAATAGGGTGGGAATTTATTAATTCAGCTACTATTTATCGAGCATCCATTATGTACCAAGCCCCTTTCTAGGCCTGGAGGATACAGTAGTGAACAAAGCAAACAGAACACTTGATTACATTATAAGAATGGGGAAGTTCCAACAAAAACTAAGTAAAATAAATGCCACGTTGGATAGTGCTAATCTAAATGAAGTGAGAAATGTAGTTGTATAATTGCCTAGGGGGAAGAGTGTTAGATGTAGAGAATAGCAAATGCAAAGGCCCTGAGGTGGGAATATCCTTGGTGTGTTTGAGGAACAGAAAGTAGGTCAGATGGAAGAGGACAGTAGATGGGGGAGGTAGACCTCAGTGGTAAGTACAGGCCATCATAAGGATTTTGGGGTTTTGGCTGTGCACTGTAAGTGAAGTGGAGAATCCAGCATGGTTCTGAGCGCAAGAGTGACACGATTGCCGATCCTTTAGGATGCGTTTATTCTGTGAGGCTCAGTACTGAGTGCTAGGGTGTGCATGTGAATTCATCCCTGGGAAGGTTTGTAATCTGGTGGGGAAACAGGCAGACCAGCTATCATAAAAGGCTGTGTCAGATAATTGCAGCCCCAGGAAAACAGAATGAGCATCATCCCCAAATCCTCAGGATGTGCTATTATGTAAAGTGCTTAGTAACTATTTGTTAAATGATTAATTAACTTGAGTAATCCCAGTACCAAGCCCTGGACCTGTAACGGAGGCTCAGGAAACATTTTTAAATAAAGAAATGAAATGCTACATGTGGGCATAGATCTCACATGGATTGATAGATCTGTCCTTCTGTGATGCCCCCCTTCACCTTTGCTTTCTGAGGATTGCTAGGTGGTAAGCTTCGATTTAGTATTTACTGAGCTTTCCATTCTGTGCCAGGCCTGTGCTAGGCACTGAAGATGCAAAGAAGAAAAAGATGTGGTCCCTTACCCTCATGAATGCCCAATATGCTTTATTACAGATTCTTCTGGTAGTGGTTGGAGTTGCTTCATTTGATTTTCAACATCACTGTGTCCCAAGTTCCTGGTCTGAAAAACACTCAGGGACTATAGGAATTTGGAGAGGTCAGGGATACAAAGAGTGGAATAGGAAAAAAGGGAATGGGGGCACCGCTGGTAAAATTTAGTTTATTCAACAAACATATATTTAAATACTGCTGTTTGCAAGATTCTTTGAACTGCTTAATATCTAGGTAGGTGTAGTTACACAGTCCCTCCTGAAAAGGAGTTCAGGTTGGTAGCAGAGAAAAGATGAGCATTGACTTTCTAGGTTTCTAAACAGCAAACAAAACTCTGCAGCGCCCCAGCCCCCAGCTACGTTACCCTACCTCTTTTCTCCTCAGCCAGACCTTCCCCAGTGAGAACATCCAATTCATTGCTTCCCAGTCATTCCCCAAAAGGTTTTGGTACAGAGGAGGATCTCAATGAATATTTATTGACAGACACAAATAAGAATGCAAAATGCTGTGGAGCTCCGGAGAGGAAGAGAGCACGTGGTTGTTAACCAACTAGCATTCATTTAACAAATTTGTTTGTTTTCTTCCCCTAATAAAATGAGGTTGTTAGGTATTGGACCAGTTTACCTTAAAGTTTCCATTTGTTCTTTTTTGAATGCCTAAATACAGAAAAATGTAGGTGACACTGATGGTTGGCCTTACAGTTTGTTCAGTCATCTAAAGGGACTGTTATAACGGGGGTCTGGATATCTTTTGCTTAAAAAGATACTTATAACCAACATCACTGTTCATATGTGAACAGTACAGTGCTTCTGAAATTTTTAAGAATAACTTGGTATTTTCCTTGTTTCTCTAGAAATATTATGTACACCATTTCATTTTGTGTGTGCCATAAATGCATAGTGACACAGTCAATCATATAAATAAATATACTAAAATTTGAACTTATTATTAAAGGACAGATTTTTAAGCAAAAGTAAACTCTAGCCTACACAGGGAAATGAACACAAATTTCAAATCTTAAAAATCTTTGCATTTTACTGTAAGTAAACTACACTTCAGAAAAAATTTAAAGTCCACCATAGCTAACAGAAACATAAACAATAAAAGGGGTTCATTTAAGTGACTTGAATTCTAGTGTTTCATCAGGAGTTGATAAAGTTCAAAGCTAATGAATCAAGAAGTCAGGGTGCACACAAACGATTTCAAGGTCAGGGGCTAACCACCAAAAGTGAAAGAGCCTGGCTAACAGTGGTTGCTGCTAGAGATGGAAGGGAGCAGAATGAGGATCATTACTTTTCATCATAAGTACATCTTTGACCATGTGGGTTATATTACATAGGTATACTTTTTAAAAGATAACACTTTTTCTAAGATGGTGGTAGCACACTGGACCCAGAGGAGCAGCCATGAGCAACGGTTGTACCATTCTTTGTGACAACTGTAGACTAGAGCATTTTTTTTATTCATATCTTCCAGGGATTTTGAATACCAGTTTGAAATTGTGACGTTCGTTAAGTGTGCTCTAACCGGGGTTCTGTATGTTTTTCTACCGCAGCACTTCTGAAGGGTATCAAAGGCTCTCACTGGTGACTGTGGCTTTCTGCTGCAGGCATACTTAATTGAGTTGGAGGAGGGAATTGATAGGTAGTTTAGAAATACAAATGTTGTTACATCACCAGCAACCTAGAATAATTCTTGGTTGATTTTGGGTCATTCTTTGCCATATTTTTTGACTCGCCCTTCATCCTCCAAGGATGTTTCTAGTACAGGACTTTGCATATGGTAGGTGCTCAATAAATATTTGCTAAAGAAATAGTTTTCAAAATAAACTGAAATATAAGGGGGTGGCTTTGGTCATTTCTGTCCTACCCTCAACTCATGAATGGATTTCAAAGAATGCCATAAATAACTTGGTTTTCTGTGCCACTGCAGCAGTGAATAAGTCATTGGGTTCCTTTGAGGTGTCAGGAATTGTGCTTGTCTTCTGACTAGTGGATTTGGCTCCCTTACTGCTGAAATGTTTCTGTGCTGATTCATTTTTCTGGAAGACACACATGCTTTTCAATAAACCTGTGTTAGTATTTACACACTTCTCTTTCAGTAATACAGAAACACTATTTGTAAAGTGGATACTGGAGAATACCTCTGTAAGTGAAATAATGTCTCACATAATTGTGCCTTTTCCTAACCTGGGTGAAAAGGAAAGAAGACTAAGCACATGGACCGGAAATTGGAAGGGAGTGCTCAGAAAACAGAGTCCCACATGCTGCAGGAGCAACGAGCCATTCTAGAAGACACAGGTGAAGATGGCGTCTCTGAAAGCTTCCAGCTTCTACAGATTGACGTGGAATGTGAGCATAGGGAGAAGAAGGCCCTGCCCGCAGACAGTGCAGTGTGGCGCTCGGTAAGCGCAGTGGGTGGCCGCGGGCTTTGAGATGATGGGATGTCCCGGAGACCCCTATTCTGAGGGTAGACACTGGTAGCAGACAGACTGGGAACGCGTTTGGTGTATTATTCTAAGGGCTAAATTTCTTACTAAGTGGTTTAGGCCTTGCATTCCATTTGTGTCATAAGATAAGTAAATAAAAGTTCAAGGAGAATTTTTGATACACCTCAGAAGGGGCAGGAAATTTAAACACTGCTTTAGGCCTTTCATGTCACATGACTTCTGGGGCTCTGCTTTTACTAAACACAATCTAGTCTACTTTTGTTGTAAAGACTAACTTCCTTTTTCTCTCCTAACTTTATATCTAAATTTAAAAAAATAAGTAACTTTCTAATATTCGTTTTCCTTTTTGGTGCTTATGAAGTTCTCAAACAATTTTGTTTTCTGGATAACCTAAGAAAAATGTCCAAAGAAAACAGAAACACTGGGAAAAGATAGTTGCAGCAAAGAAGAGCAAAAGAAAACAAGAAAAAGAAAGAAGAAAAGCCAACCGTGTAGAAAATTCAGGTAATAATAAATCCAGTTACTGATGTAATTATATTTATCTCTTTGCAAACTGGTGTCTGCATGTTCCTAGGAGAAGAGGAGTGTTGTTTTTAAGTAAAAACAAACATCTGGGAGGTGAGCCCTATTGTCTTATTTTGCTGGAAATCTAAGTATCAAAAAAAACAAAATTGAAGTCTCGCTTTCAAATATAAACTATCTAGCATACACATGTGTTTATAAGCTCAGAATTAGAAGGAATGATGCCAGCAAATAGCCAACATTTATTCAGTGCTGTGTGCTCGGTTCAGTGCTGAGAACTTTACATGGATTACCCTAAGGGGTAGGTCTTTTATTACCCTCATTTTGTAGGTGAAGAGACTGAGGCTCAGAAAAATTAAATAACATGCCTCAGACAATACAGGTAATAAATGAAAGAACTGAGATTGAGATCCAGCAACATGCTCCAGAGCCCACAGCCATCGTCCCCCTCCTCTACCTAAACTGACTAATGAATGAATACCTTGCACAAGTGTCGAGTTTCTAGTTTCTGTTCCTATGCAAGTGGTACTCACCTGGCTGGGGAAATGTGCTTCGTACTGAATATTCCTCTGTTTTCTCACTTATATTTTTTTCTGATATTTTCTACTCTAGGCATCTGCCCCCAGCACAGCAAACGTTTTCTGAGATCCTTAACCAAGGAGAAACTTTTGGAAGCCAAACACACAGGACCAAGACTCTGCATCGATTTAAGTATGACCCACCACATGTCTAAGAAGGTAGAACATCCACTAAGTTCCAAATTCCTGCTCACACGAGGAAAGTCCAGAAGGGAGCAGCTTTCACAGAGAGTTTCTGTGACTCTGTAGTAAACCAGCAAGTGTTTAGTTTCCTTCACGTGACTAAGTTCCAAGATGGCTGTCGTAAAGATTCAGGAAGAGAATAGACATCTTTCGGTTTAGTCTGCAAATTTTTACCTTACATTCTGTTTTGGGATCAACCCTTTGCCTATGTGGTTATGATGTCCCCAGTCTCGTTGGAGCCTTTCACTTTCAGTTCTCCAGAGATGAAATCTTTGGTCTTCTGCTGGGCAGAGGAATTTGCCTGGTTACATATTGTGGGGAGATTTCTGCAATGTATGTGTTTCAGTGATTGGGTTCTGGGGGTGGCTGAGCACATGGCACTCAACACTGAGCAGATAAGATGGATAGCAGCTTATAGTCACACATACTCAGCCCTGGGGGAGGGTGACACTGCACGCCATGCAGGGCCACATGGGGTTGCATTGGGAACAGAATGAACGACCAGGGACTGTGGGAGCAAGCTCTGTCATATCAAGAGGGTGGGTGCCCCCGATTCATGCAGGAAGCTGGGATTGGTCTATTGGAATAATTCTGTGGGCTGGCAGGGAATTAAAACCCACTCCTCATGGATAATCAGGAACTAGACCTGGTCCCTTTGATAAAAAGGATTGTTTAGCTAGGGGACCTTATCCATGGGAACAGAAATGGGAGAGGTACTTGGAGTTAGGCCATTCAAGGCCCATCCACTTTCACCAGATGTCAATGCAGCACACAGTATCAGGCCTGAATTTTAGGCCTCACCCCACAAAATAAACCTTTCTACATTCCAGTACCCCTGTTGTATGTGCTAGGGCTTGCCTGGTTTTCAGAGAAATAAAACTGAAGAGCTGCGGTTCGTACATGGAACCTCCAAATATAGCCCTCTGAAAAGGTCAACCAAGAATTTTCTGTTGTTTATATTGAGATATCAGATTAAATCAAACCCAAAGCCTTTTTTCTCTACTGAACCAAATCGGGCCAGATTGCAAGGTCTCTGAGTCAGGCTGGAAACTTCCAATTCTATTAGATCTCTTGGAGTTAGGGAGAAAGTGCCAAGTTTATTTGATGGACTTCTTTTTAATTGTAAACATCACATGGTAAGATTTCAGATAAAAGCTAAAAGAACAGTTTCAGATATCATATTAGGTATATAATGGCAGGTCCTAAAGGAGGAAAAATCTCAGGTTTTCCCTTAATACACTGTTTCTGGGCTACTATCATTACCTCAGCTTTCACCCAGAAGGTGTGATGCCGGGGGATGTAACACACACTCAGGCATGTACTCACTCCTGGAGCAAAGGGGTCATTCTAGTTCATAAGATTTTCCAGAGTAGCACTCAGTGCACTTACTGAGTAACCATGTGTTGATAATGAATTTAGGAGGAGGGCATGTTTACACCCTAAGTTGTTCTTATTTCTTTGAAGGAACTCAGTAGACTCGCTGGACAGATCCGGAGATTGTATGGCTCCAATAGGAAAGCTGACAGGCCATTCTGGATCTGCCTGACAGGATTCACAACAGACAGTCCCCTCTATGAAGAGTGTTTGAGGATGAATGATGGATTTTCTAGTTACCTGGTAAGCCTCATTTTGCATAATATTTGAATTGTTACCTAAAAAATAGGTTGTAGGGTAATTTTTTGACATTTTCAATTTTGATATTTTGTATGTATAAAAATTATGTGTTTTCATTATTACAATCTAAAAGAATTAAGACCTGCTCATCAGTTCTTATAGTTACATTTTTTCTTCTTTCAACCACATTGGCAAAAAGTATCTAGGACTGTATGCTTTTTCCTGTACATTGTATACTAGCCAGCGTACTCCAGGAATGTTTTGGGGAAATGGTGTGACTCCTTTCTTGTTCTCGATAATGCAGAATTATGAAACATGGGTTTTGGAGGAAGAGAAAGAATCCTTAAGGGAGTAATAGGGATTTAAGATGAGTTTTAGGGAATACCAAGTTACTTTTCAACTCTTTTCTTCACATCTCATAAGGGTAGTGATTGATATACAGGCAAGAATCCAGGGCAGTTCCTAAGAAATACCACTAAAAATGCCCCTGTGTGTTTGCATTATGTAGCTGAGAGGGGGCAGAGTGGCCTTTCTGAGGGAGGGCCACGGAGGCTGTGAGTGTGGGGACGCCCTGTGCAGTGCTGCAGGCGGTCGTGGTCACTGTTACTGACTCACAGTCCCCGCTGCAGCGCAGCCATTTCCAGCCTCACTTTCCTCTCTTGTCTTTGATGATTCCTGTATGTGAACCGCAGACCCACTCTCAGGGCCACGGCGTCCCCTTGCTCTCCTGTCTTCAGGCCTTTCTGGGGTCATTCCCTCCACTTTGAGTGCTCCCTTCTTTTGCTCACCTCTTCAGAAGCTCAGTTCCAGCATTCCCTTCACTGGAAAGTTGTCTCTGGTGTTGCCCCCTCCCTCGTGTGCACCCTGTTAAGCCTGTTAGGTATGGCCTCGTTACTCTGTCTCATTTTGTAGGGGTGAACATCTGTGCCTTTCCACTTGCCCTCCTCAGCGGAGCATTTTCTGAGAACAGGTTGTCAGACATGTAGCCCCTTGATGCAGCTACAGCCAAGCCTGATCGAAACTAGATGTCTGATAACTAGTTGCTAAAGTGCAGCTGTGTCTTAACCGAGTTCACGGTACATTGGATTATTTGTATTTTGCAGCTAGACATAACAGAGGAAGACTGTTTTAATTTATTCCCCCTGGAAACCCTTGTGTACCTGACTCCTGATTCAGAACATGGTATGTACTTTACTGCACAGCCTCCTGTAGCCCATTGTATCAAGCTAGTTTCCCGGATCGGCTTCCTCCATGGATCCTTTTTGGACCAATGTTACATTTTTTTCCCCAGAAAATCATCTATTTCAATGTAATTTTCCAATTCATTGATACTAAGTTGATCTTCATATTTTCTTCTAATTATCTCACATTCCTCTGTAATTCTAATTTTGTCTTTTTTTTCTGACTCCTAATGTTGATTTGAATCGACTAATTTTTTTTTCTTGATCAGATACACCAAAGATTTATATATTCAATTGGTCTTTTCAGAGAATTAGTAAATCTGCTATCTGTTTCCTATTTCATTAAGTTTCTACTTTTATCATTCTTTCCTTTTATTCTCTTTGGATTTAGAATTATGAAACAGATTTGATCTCATTGGCCTTCATTTCTTTATTAGCTCTTGAAGATGTTGATCTAGACAAAGTTTACATCCTTGGTGGACTTGTGGATGAAAGCATCCAGAAGGTAAGTATACATTTTAGGCTGAAAAACTGTAGTTTGAGAAGTGGCGCTTACTTTTAGAGGCACCTACCTTGTAATAATCTTACCCAAAAGGCCAAAAAAGTCAGAGGGAATACGAAGAAGGAGCCTATTCTGCCTGGGTTGGCCCTCCCACCTGTGAGTTCCCTCTCTGCTCATCAGCAATGCCAGCAATCCTGACCTGACAGAATCCAGTCAGGAACCGCAATGCGGAGTGTTTGGTAATTACCTCAGTAGCCATGGTTGAACTCCTTTCTTCTCTCCTCTCTTCATTTCTGTAAGGATCACTCTGATCTTGACCAAGGAAGCATTGACTCAGCCTTCTTAGCAGCTGTTTGTACTTTGTGAGAGAGTAGTTTGCTCCTTCTTAGTCCATCTTCCCTGCCAACATAGAAGCGCAACCTCAATAGTACTGTCCAGATTTCTTGTCTTACATTGGAATTTTATTGGGATAACTGGAATTTTTCTATATGTTTCTATTGTATAAATATTTGATGAGAATTTTGTTTGTATGTACAAATTAACATTACATAGATAATAAAGAATGGTGTAATAGTTAAATGTATAAAAAGGAATATAGTGAGAAATAAATCTTGTTCCCCAGTGTCCCCCACTTGAGAAAACCACTCTTTTCTTGTGTGTCCCTCTTGATACAGCCTCTGATCACACAAGTATCTATTTTGGGGTATATTTTTTGTATATGTGTGTTTTTCACAAGTGTGAGTGTATTTTACATATTTTTTATATATGTAAATGAAACACAACACAGATGTTATTTAACTGAATTGCATTTATTCTAAAAAGCTCAGTGTTTCATGACTTCATAGTCATAATCAGTGTAATAAAAACAAATAGTTGGGGGGGGGGCTGTTTTAAATTAAGGGAGATTAAAAAGACATACCGTAACAGCTAAATGCTGTCTCCCACAGCAGAGTGACAGCCCCCTTTTTTAGGCACCAAAGGGTAGAGGATCAGTGAGTATGATCTATAGATACACAGTTTTAACACATTATCCTCTCACTAACATTTAAACTGGAAAATAACTGGCACAGAGATTTGTCAGATGAATGGAACTTCTGGGTTGTTAATAGAGTTTGACTTCTTCACAGGAAAATGCTAAGAAAAACATTTATTCAAAGGAGTCATTTTGTCTTTAAATGTTCAGAAAACAAACACCAGACTGTAATCTCCTTCAGGGCAGCATCTAAGCCTCCTACTAACTTTGAATTCTATACGCTAGTTCAAAGTGGTTATAAAGGAATAAACTTTTTAAAGCAATCATAGCTCATATATGCAAGGAGTGTTATCCTTCACAGAACTTCTCTCTTGGAATTGTGTTTCATTTGAGTCTGAGAGGGAAGTAATCCCAGTGTCAGAACAAAGAAGGTGCTAGGCCTGCTTCACGCTATTACCATACTTAGTATGGTTGGTAGGGTGGCCAGTCAATTATGGGACTATAAATGAAAGGATATTGACAAGCTAGTACAAGGTCAGAAGACATTGGCCTGAATGATGAAGGGACTGAAAGCTAAGTCACGGTCAAGGACAGTTGACAGAACTGAGTGTGGAGACAAGAGGATTCATAGAGACATGACCCCTGCCTTCGAGAATCTGAATGGCCGTCTTGTGGAAGGGCCATCTGACTTGCTTGGTGTGGCCCTGGGAGAACAGAACTGGGGCTAGTGAGTGGAAGTCTCAGGAAAACACACACACACACACACACACACACACACACACACACACACAAAACTTGCCTCAATATCAAGAATTTCCTATTAACTGGTACTGTCAAAATTGGAATAGGTTTCCCCAGGATGTATGAATTTCCTGTCACAAGGGTTGTCCATTTAAAACTAGAGGCCGCTTGGGAGAGAGGTCATAGAGGATAAACAAATATGGATGATGGGTGGTCCAAGTCTGTTGAGGCCTCTTCCAAACCTTAGTATGTTAACTGTCCCAGTATCCTAAACCTTTCTCTTTGATCCTGAAATTGCAAACACATAGATGACCTTTTCCAGCTTCTTACAAGGTAGCAAATACAGTTTAAAATTCAGTTCATGGCTCAACGATATCTTTAAAGAGACATCAGTTACTTTTCTCTAAATTTAACCCTAAGCAGCCTTAGATTATTGGACATTTTGACTTCTTGCAACTCCTCTTTAGTTTTTAGAGCCCTTTCTCTCTCAACAGCAACAAAGGAGCATTAGCTCTCACGCCTAATGCTGTCTTGCAGCTGCTGGTGTACCTGACTTGAGTCCTGTCTCTCTCATCTCTAATTCGTTGCTACCAGTTGGCTATGAACTGAAAACTTGATATCTGGAAATGGGTCTTAGTGAGTTAAAGCTAGGCGTGTTCTCCTCTGATTGACTAGACTGCTCAGACTTTTGGATGCAGATTGTGGCTGCAGATATACCTCCTTTACGTTACTTCCTTCTTGGTTGTAAGTAGTAATGAGTGGAAGATAGTGGATAAATGGCTCCCAAATTAGTGAGGTGTTGTCACCCGTTTCTTACTTGAGACAAGTAAATATTCTTCATTCTCTGCAGTATTCTTAATTATCTGCAGGCTACTTATTTTTAATACTTATCATTAATTACGATTACAGATGGAAATTAAGAGTAGCGGTAATTGGGGGTTCTCACAATTTGCTATGCATTTTACAATGAGAATATCTTCATGAATTATCTTTAAAAGAAAAATATTTAACTGTGATTTACAGAAGGTGACATTTCAAAAGGCTCGAGAACACTCTGTCAAGACAGCCCGCTTGCCAATCCAGGAATACATGGTCAGACGCCAGAATGGGAAAAACTATCATTCGGAGATATTGACTATCAATCAAGGTGCTGCTCACATGGCCCACACTTAACATGTTATTAGTTCTGGTGTTGCTTTGCATTGTGTTTAAGTATGAATGTCCTTTGACGCAGTTTCCCCCTAATACTGATGTGCTCAGACTTTATTGGATGCACTTTGTGACATATATTCTGACCTCTTGAAAGTATTTTACATTTTCTTGCTAATTCCCAACTATGTTAAATACAGTTGAAATTATTGCCATAGCCTAGAATGCTGTCTTTAGCCTATCATTAATCAGTCAATTCCTATTTGTCATTCAAGATTCAGTTCACAAGTATCTTGGCTGCCCCTCTCCCCACCCTAGGCCATGTCCGGGCCCCTCCTCCGTGTTCCTGTCTTTTGCAGCATTGTCCAGTGGCTCTCTCTCTCAGTGTAAACTGAGGTCCTGTGGGCAAGCAGGGCCTGCATCTTTGCTTCTGTCTCCCCAGGATCTAATACCATGGGTGGTACAGAGTAGGTTTGTGGAAAGAAATAGTCCAAAATACCCTTTTCTCATTAGTTATCTGCTAGTTTTCTTTTTCTAGTGTGTGGTCACTGTGTTTTTTGTTTACCCTTCCAACAGTATTTGATATCCTGTCCACTTATTTTGATACTCAAAACTGGCCTGAAGCATTGAAGAAGGGAGTTTCTTCCAGAAAAGGCTATGTTCTTCAGAACTCAGTGGAATGATGGACAGCCTACAATCGCAGCTGCAGGAGATGAAGTTGCTGAAGGGGCCTTGACCAAAAAACAGAGCAAATGGTGGCAGGGGCACACACTTGCCTCTACTTGACGTCTTGGATCTTGAGTAGCACACAGGTTACTAACAACAGGGACCATATTTTATGCTCTTTTGTATCTCATGTAGTGCCTGGATCACAGGGAAGTGCCCAATCTATCTTGATTCAAGTAAAAAGTTTACATAACAGCCCTGGTCAGTGTGGCTCAGTTGGTTGGGTGTTATCCCACAGGTCTTAAGGTCCCTGGTTCAATTGCCAGTCAGAGCACATGCCTAGGTTGCAGATTCGGTCCCCAGTCAGGGTGTGTACAAGAGGCAGCTGACCAATGTTTCTCTTCCTCCCTTCCCCTCTCTTTAAAAAAGAAATAATAAAATCTTCTTTAAAAAAACTTTACATAAGGAATTAGCTCTTTAACTACATGGCTTTTGATGTGTTCATTTTTGTACATCTATTTGTGTACTCTTTAGAGATAGCTTACTAACCTTGTGATATCAAGAAGTTTAATTTTCACTAAACTGGCATCATAAAGTTACAGCTTTGTCCAGGATCCTCTGATCATGCTGAATTTCCGAACTCAGTAATATGCTGTACATGTGCTGCTCAGAATCGGCGTGTCCCATCGTAGCTCACTTTAAGCCCCCATTGAATTTTTTTCTCACCTGTGGCTCCTATTTTATCTCCTGTTCCAAGTAGGCTGTGGAGGGCTTCTCCTAACTAGCCTCCTTACAGGACAATTTGTGGGAGTATTGTTGTATCCTTCAGAGCCTAGAGGTTGAGAATATAGGCCAAGTGAAAATCTCTGCCTCAGGTTCTTGCACTAGAAGGATAAGTGTCTTCTGCAATTACTAGGAATAAATGAGTTACTCCAAGCAAAACACTTGGAACATGGTATGTGAACACATGATAATTGTTAACTGTTACATACTCACCACTAAATAATTGGATTACATGTGATTTTTGTTTGCTTCTTTGTACTTTTTATGTATTCTACATTTTCTTTGGGGAACATGTTTTATTATTATCAGAATATAATTATTTTGCCACAGCTGGCATGGCTCAGTGGATTGAGTGCCAGCCTGCAAGCCAGACTTGCCAGTTTGATTCCCATTCAGGGCACATGCCTAGGTTGCAGGCCAGGTCCCCGGTGAGGGGCATGTGAGAGGCAACTGAACATTGATGTTTCTCTCCCTAACTTTCTTCCTCCCCTTCTCTAAAAATCAAATTTAAAAAAATCATTTTAATGCTTACTTCCAGTTTATTACAGAAACTGCTCTAGCAAAACTAAGTTAACACCAAGTAAACCGTAATACTTTTAGTAAACTTTATTGTAAAGAACAAAAAAAAAAATACACCATTATTTTATAATGATTTTTCTCACCCACAAGAACATGGGTGGCAACAAGTGACTTACAAAAATATTTTTTTAAGACTCTAATAAGACAATATCTTGTCTTCTGAAGGTTTAATAGGGAGAGATGCCCCTGAAAAAAAATTTTCCCCAGGGAATCCACAGTCTCTGGCTCAACTGACCCTAAAAAAGTCCATATAGATCAACTTTCTGCCAATCGGGAGAAGATTTGTTTTCTTTGATCTGATGTCATGTGTTCACAAGCCTCTAAAACGTTTGCCAAAATTAAGGTCTGCTGAATGGTTTTTGCCTTCACCCATATTCTTCCATTCATTCCAAATACTATCTCCAGTGGGTAGAGTTTTCCCAATTCCTGTAGGATTTCACAGTTTGGAGCTAGCAGCCTGGTGAGGAAGAGGAAAAAAAATTTTAATGAAGTGGTAGGGTATAACCTAACTTTCCTTTAGGAGACTCCTTTTCTGGGCAGTTCATAGTTGCTAAAAGCCCCACCATCACTCCAAGAGCAAGGCACATGTGCTGCCCCTTTTCTTCTAAGAAGCTTTACACTTACCAGTATATCAGACATCACAACGCCAGGCTATCCTCCACGCCCTCCCTCCCCCCCCAAAAATTGACCCTCTGTCGCCTACTTTACCAAAAATGTATAAAGTTCTTCCCCTACATTGCCAGAGCACCTTAATTCTACGATTCTTTAAAATTCTATCTTGTTTTATTATCCACAGTGCTAAAAGAACACCTTAACTTACTTTCCTAACCATGTAAGTCAATCCCTAGTATTAAATTCACTACTGGAGAAGAGAAGCATTAATCCTTTCAAACCACAGGGGTGCTGCTTAGTTAATAATATGCTTCTCTAATGACCTGAACTAATTCTCCAAATCTGCAGAATAAGTAACAAAGAGTTATGCAAGATAGCTCAACTTTGGAATCTAAAACTAAAACCCTTTAATAGGGCACAGCTTTGGGTAGGTAAAGGTGTAAACACCTAACAAAGAGAATCTGCCTCTGCAAACTATTACATCTACCAGGACAGAAGAGCAGGAGCCTTCTGTGAAGGTTTGCGTAAGCCTGAAGATTACATCAGCCTAGCTGCACTGGCTCCCATTACTAGAGAAATTTGGTGATTTTGTACAACTGTAAATTGCATATGTATTAAAGTGACTTAGGGGCAAAGACCAGTTTTTACATTTGGGCTGAGTATATCAGCTATAAGGAACAGCACACCTGGGAGGAAAACCCAAACTTCATATCAACACAGAAACTACAATACCAACTACATCTGAATTCAATGTACTCATACTAAGAGGATAGGACCAAATGCATAAGTTTACAACTGTGCTTAAATGGATACTGATTTTTTTTAACTTTGAGGAGATTCAGACATTGTTACCAAGAATCCAAATCCCAAACATCAGCTGGCTTTCTGAGAAGGTATAATTATAAAAGGCAGGCCAGCCAGAAGGCATCGGGACTTACTTTCTAATTAAGCCCAAAGTCACTTTAAAAAGCAGGCCGTCCTGTCCAATCACACCCATTCCATTGGCTCGTCCACAGCTGTCAATACAAACCATCTCTGGTTCCATATCTTTATTAGCAACCACGAATTGTCCATAAATGAGATCTCCAACCTACAATGATAATTAAAAAACATCATTTTCTATGAGCAAACCATTCTACGGGTGCTACTATTCATTCTTTCCCTTGGGCAGCAATGCCAATTACCTATACAGTTTTGTGGTTAAGGGAATGACTGCACTCCAGGACTGAGTCACTCTGGAATTGGGTCTTAAAAGAGGGCAACATTCACACATGTACCTTCCCCCTTTGCCCACCAGAAAATCCTTAGACTAGGAGCTGTCTCAAAGCCAGAAAACAAATACTCTCTGGAATATACCGTCCAATATGGTAGCCATTTACCCACATGTAGTTATATAAATTCATCTTCAAGTTAATTAAAATTTGATACTTAAAATTCAGTTCCTCAGTTGCATTAACCACCTTTCAAGGTTCAACAGGCATGTGTGGTGAGGGGCTACCACACTAATCACTGTGGATGTAAAACATTAGCATCATCACAGAAAGTTCTATTATGTAGAACTTTCACTGCTCTAGGGAATTATGGAAGATTGATGGATAGGAGAAACTTCTAGCATGCTTATTATTCAAAGCAAAATGGAACAATGGTAATTCATTGACACTTCTCCACTCAAGATTTACTTTAAAACTTCACAGAGTTGAACTTCAAAATGATGGAATTAAAGAAATCGAGAGTGAACTTGTTCTGTTAAGTACCTGTTAAACTGGTGACTATAGGAACTAGAAAGAAACAAAACATTTTCTGCCTTTCAGAAATATTTGGCCTTGGAGGGCAATGGGGATGTACATATAAACAACAAACTTCATTCAGGCCAAATCTAGTTAAGTGCTAGAGCAGTTATAAGGAAAGGGTGATTGAAGAGTAAGGATGATTTTATAGACATGGTATTTGGCCTGGGTCTTAAGGGATGAATATGTGTTCCACAGCTGAAAAGGAGATAGAGCAATGCAGACAGAGGAACAGCATGAGCAAACAACAAGGGCAAGAAATTATGAGTTCGGTAGTGCTGTTAAATAGTTTGGTGTGGTTCAAGCATAACTGTGTGGGGATGGAATTATGGATGAGGGAAGACTTTTGGAGTATAATGCCAAGCAAATCTGTAGGCTTTGAAGAAAGGGGAGTGTGTGAGGCTGTCAGCTCTCAAAAGCTTGGATGAAGGGTTAACAGTGTATGGACATAGGTATTAATGATGAGGTAACTGACTAACCCCATACAAGAGGTACCTGAGGCCTGAACTTGCAAAATGGAGATGCGAGAGTGCACTTAGAGATATAATCAAATAGAATCAGTGAGATTAAGCAACAAAAGACACATGAAAGGTAAGTGAGAAGGGGCAAAGAAACCATCAAATTTCTGGTTTGGGTGCACAGGAAGAGTGTGGCTATGCTACCTGAAAAGCCCAAACAGAAAACTTGGGGAAACAAGAGTACTCTTCTGTCAGCTCCAAAAAGGGATTGTTGGGAAACACAGATATAACTGAAGTTGTCAGATGCCACTTCCAGGACCTACACTCAGGATAAATGGACGGCTGATATGGCAACTTGCACCATGTGTCCCTCCTTCCTCCCTAAGCCAATGGCTTAATTCCTTGTCCAATGACTAACAATGGAGAGAAGAGATATAACCTTTCCCCCAACATAGTAAGTATAACATAAGTACGTGACTCTAGTCCCAGAGCTGAAGCAACAAAATGAACTCTTGCAGCCTGCAATGATCACACAAATGCTCAGAGATCATCCGATAGAACTGGGAAAACAGGTCATGCTTTGGAGACAATTCAGGTAGCCTTAGGAATTCTGGATGCTTTCCTTCTTTAGAAGCCAACTTTTACCATCATTACCTGCACATTTGGTCTGTTTCTTTTAGTTGCACCTTCAAATGCCAAGTAAGACAAAGAAGCTGGCTCACTCCCTCCAACATCGACTTTGAATATATCTCCAGATTTAGCTGTCACTATGCCAATCACATGGTCTCCTTTTACTGGGACATACTACAAAAAAAAAATTAGAATGAGAGAACAACGATAAATGACAATCATTTCCAATATATCTTGAAAGATATCTTCAGCAAGTCCTTAATGGTTATTTTATTACGTTTGTCATTGGAGATATTTAGGAAATATTTTGAAATCCAAGTTTACAATTTAATACAAATCTTACAAAAACTTGATCATACTCCATTTTTAGTAAAAGGAAAACAACCACGTCATAAAACTCTCAAGTTTACAGCTTCTAAAGTCTGTTCATTTGAGCTGGTATCCCATACCTCTTCAGCATCCTTATCACGACCCTAGCCTCTGCTTGCGCGTTAAATCCAGTGGCACAGAGGGTCCTTGCAAGTAAGGAAGGCCATTTCATTGTAAGACAGTTTTCCCTACGTGAAAGTTCTTACTTATTCTTAGAGAATTTTGAGCTCCCTGTGACATCTACTAATCGAGCCTCTAAAGATAAGCCTGGTTATTCCTAATCTTCTGGATTTTGAAGACAATGGCCATGTGCCACACTCCTTTATCTCCTGGTCGCCCTTCTCAGGCCACGTTCCAGTTTGTCACAGTTCCTCGAAAGGAGACGCAGAAGTGGGCACAGACATGGTGGCTCTAGGCTAGCCTTAACAGGGTCTCCAGGGCTTGCCTCTGCCCTCCTTGCCTTTTCCCTGAAGTCTACCCAGAGCTGGGATACGATACCACTTTCACAGCCGTACCACCCGTCCGGAGTCCCATCTCACCCGTTTCTGTTGCGAGTCTACCCAGTAAACGCCGCCGCCGCCTCCGCCGCTGGGCTCCTTGTGACGGAGGCGACCACACTTGGTGACCAGCAGGCGGTCGCCACAGCGCCGCAAGCCCGGACCGCATACAACGCGCACCCGGGAGCGAACGCCGGCATTTAGACTCAGCGGTCGCTCCCCTGCACTTCCCGGGCCTTCAGCATCCTCTTGCTCGGGCAGCAGCAGCTCCTCACCCGGGAGCACCACCTGGCCCAGCACAGAGCGCGCCGCCCGTGCTCTGCCACCCGCAAGGCACTCGGCCGCAACCACCGCCGTTTCAGTCATTCCGGTCGCCACGAAAAGTTTCCGGCTTCCGCTTCTGGCACTGCGTCCAACCGTCAGCCCGCCCAAGTCTTTCCGTTTTCTGCAGTAGCTGTCTGTCGGACTTGAGCCTACGTCATTGAAGCCAGATCCTTGTGGGCAGATAGGTGCCCCAAAAGTGGCTGTGATTTTGTCTCCAGCCTGCTGCCTATCCTGCAATCGGTCCGCGGGTCCGTACGGGAAGCATTCAGCTCGAGTCGATCGCCATGCCTCTACTTCCGGTGTCTGGGGTCACACCGTCGGATACAAGACGATGGCACAAATGGTTCCGTGGGAACAATGGGAAGTGAGCTGAGGGGCTCCGGGATGGTCCTTTCCTACTCCGCCCTCAAAATGAAAAATATTTTCCTTTTCCAAAATAAAACCTTTTTGGTTGTTGCTAAAGAATATACCTATTCACATTGTGGAAAACACAAAGAATGAAAAAATAAAACGTATTTGTCTTGCCCCGTTTGTCTCCCTTGCTAGGCTTTCTGCTAGTTATTACTTGTCACCCAGAGTCTGGCACGAAATAGGTAATAACCTGATAAATGGATGCTAACATTTTAGTGTGTATTTCTCCCTAGATTTTTTTCCCCTACAAATATACACATATCATATGCACATTTCTACATAACTGAGCTACCCCCACATGGCCTAGTTAAATCCTCGCTGCTACTTTTCTCTGGAGCACACTTTAGTTGCACATGTGAGAAGCAGCTGAATTACAAATCCATAGCACTTCAGGTATATTCTTCAGATTTTTAGGGCCTTTACTTGAAATCAGTTTGGTCTGTTAACTGGTGCTTCCAAATAGCTCTTTGGTCAGATTCCCCAGCAGGGGTGAAAGCTACTGGGGACTGGAAAGGCTTGGCTCTGCTCTTATTTTTGAGGCATCTGCTTCCAATGTGCATTGTTTGATTTCTAGGATGTTTAAGACAGATCATCTCTAACACCCCATCCAAATCTGGCAACATCCTGGGGTGCGAACTGATGAAGAGGTCAACTAAAATGTAAATTTTGTTGTTTTTTCAATCAGATGGTAAGAACTGATCTTGGTCAGTTACATGAGAATAACAAGTGTTATGGGTGCTGTAACAGCCTGATCAGAGTGTCAGACCTAAAATTACAGACTATAAAATGGTTACCTCCCTTTGGGAAGGAGGAAGGTAGGGGCCAGGATAGGTACTAAATGAGTGAACCTTTAACATTTTTTTAGTTCACTGGTTTCTAAAAATTACAAATTAACTACATGCTGATTTATATACATAAATTAATAGCAAGAGTCCATGGAAGGAATGCTAATATCTTTATCCAGGTAAAGGATTTAAACATAAATGCTCAGAATTATCACTGCACAAATGAGCATCTACTTGCTACAGATGTTTTTAATCACAAAGAATTCTGGTTAAGAAGAACTAAAGAGAGTTTTAAAGATTATAAGAAAAGCAGATATAAGGACCAGGAATTACCCCAGTACATAGATAGAGCACCCAAGGAGAGCCCCTTGCCCTAGGAAGAACTGACTGAGACCTTGTTAGAGAGGGTATGGCTATGGTTCATTAAGTGGCAAGAAGTGCTTGGGAATCTGTACAAGTAGAACTTGCTAGAAATCAACCCTCCAGAAGTTGCCAGCACTTTGAGAGTGCTGAGGAAAGCTAATCCGAGGGAGGTGTCATCTGGAAGTGTGTTACAAAACTGTTGGATAAGGTGCTAGGGAAAACGGATGGCTGAAGCTGCCCTGATGCAGGAATTAACCAGAGAGCATGCTGGGGCCATGAAGCAAAACCCATTCTTCCTTCAATGCTTCTGCAGGGCCTTCTACCTGAAAAGCTTATCTTCAAGATACATAGCAAAGGAAAACTATGTTAAAGGCCCAGATCCATTTTCTCAGAACAAGCAGAGAAAGGTGAGTTTAGAACTGAGTAGCAGTACATTGATAACTATCCCAAGGTCTCATAAAGTTATAAGATCAATAAACTCATCACTAACAGCAATAATGTAGAGTTTTCTCAGGTCCAAATGGCTTCATAGGTGAATGCTACCAAACATTTAAAGAATTAATGCCCATTCTTCATAAACTCTTTCAAAAAGTAGGAGAACACATGCCAGCTCATCCTATGAGGCCAGTATTACCCTATATCGAACCAAAGCTATTACAGGAAAAGAAAACTACAGATCAATATCCCTTATGAAAGAGAAAGAAAGGGGTAGTTGTGGACAAACATCCGTTCCCTTTAAGGTCATGACATGGAAGTCATACACTGCTTCCATTTATATCCCATTGACAAGAACTTTGTTACATCATTACATCTAGCTGCAAGGGATGCTGTGTGGTCATGTACCTGGCTAAATTTAAGGGATTTTATTATTAAAGGAAGCTAGGAAACAGTCTGTCACAATGACTCCCAATGGTCTGACACCAGCCTAGCTTCCCAGCTTCATTTCCCTCAGGCCCTTTTTATATTCAGTCTGTTTGAGTCTGAGTGGGCTGTATTTTACTCTCCACAATAGTCAGGTTTCATGACATCTCTCCTCTTTAGCTTTGCTCACATTTTGTGGTGTCCCAGGATGCTTTTTCTCCTCTCCATGCTTTGTGAACCTTAACTTTTCTTCATAGTCCATCTCACCTGCCTCCAGTTACGATGAGTCTGCCTCCTAAACTCCCACAGGCTCCTTCATCTTTCCTTTTCCAGTGGCATAGAGAGTGCCGTCTGCCTTGTCTTTTCATACTTTCGACAGATTTTCTGCCCTAGTGGGAAGAGACATGTTCAAATCTGAGTTCTGTCATAAAAAAATGCTCGTGAACTTGAACAAAGTACTTAAATGTCTCAGAGCCTTGGAATTACTGGTGAGATGGCATTCATGCCCACTCTGCAGAGCTGGCATAAGGATTCAATGAGGTTATATGTGTAAAGCCCTCAGAATGGTGCCAGGGACCAAAGTGGATTCCCTCCTTCTCTGCCTCTGCCTATCCCCAAATAGTAGGTCTCCTGAGGTTAGGACATCTCTTCTTTTTCCTCTTCTTTAAAAAGTGGTTGTCCAGTACCTGATGGGCCTCAGAAAATATTTCTTAAATTTATTAATTCATTCAACAGCTTCCCTAGGCAACCACTACATGTCAAGTGCTCCTCTGGGGGTACAGTGGTGAACACATCAGAAAAATGCCTAGACTTTCAAATATGCTCTAGAGAGGAGAAAACAATGAACAGCTAAACAAAATAAAAGAACAAATTGAATGTAAAAAACATCATTAAGTATCAAGAAGAAAATAAAATTGGGTATTTGGTAGCGAGGGACTGACAGTGAATGGGAAAGTGAATGGGTAGGTGAATAGGTGGGTGCACAACTTTGTTGTTCAAATACGGCTGAGCCTGTCTAGGTTCTTCTGAGCTGCTATCCAAAGCTTGTGGACAAGTCTCCTTTCCTCCTCCTCCCCAGGCCAGCTCAGCAAAGCTGACAAGGAACTAGTCATGGTGACCAGCCTTGTCAACAGGGGTTCATACAGTGTGGCTGTCCACAGCACCAGTGCGGTGTGTATCCCACGAACTCAGGGCTCTCTGACCACATTAGTGCCCACCACCCCTGTGCAAGTTTCCGGGCCTCTTCAAACCTGAGAAAAGGAAAAAGTCCATGCCACTGTAAGGCGCAGGGAACACACACATGCCTCCAGCTCGTCCCATTGCTTGAGTTACCTTCCAGTCCCCATAATTGTGCCCACCTGCTTCTGGGCGAGTTCCAGCTTTGGTGCTAGATCCCTGGCATACATTCTCTCAAATGCACACAATTCCCCCTCTACATTGTGCCTTATTATAACCATTTTACCTGTGTGGTTCAGAGCTGTAACAACATAGGGCATGCAACTAAAATATAGAATGTGGCGGAGTCCATTTTCAAAGTTTGCATACTTTCTGTTACATTACACTGTTTGCGTTTTCAGCATGGATTTAGTCTATCTACTAACTATTCCTAATGGACTCAGACCAGTTTTGTAGGTTTTCCTTTATTTCTTGCTGCTGGCCCCAAGCATGGGCCTGTCTGCCTCCCATTTTGGAACTGCCTCCATTTACTCTTTCTCATTAAGACTGGTTGTGAAATGGGTCTTAATCCCCTAACCAATATTTACCTTTTGCTTGCCTCATCCAAAGTCAGGCCCCTTGGGTATCAGAGGTCAGGCTAATTCTTCCCAGAGAAATGGATTGAGGGTGATGACACAGTGAACATGGGGTTGTCACTAAGCTTATAATGACCTACTGATCCCTACAGTGAAATTCCTGATTCTCTGGACCATGGAACAGAAATATCTGGTCTCTGCATTTATTCTCGAGGTTGAGGGTCATCAGTCTTCCTACCCCCAAACTTCCCTCCTGACCACACCTGAGTGCAGACATTGAGAACTGCTCCCCTAGAGAATAGCACATCATCCCATTTGCCCTGCTGACAGTTTCCTGCCTAATTGCCAAACCTTTGTTCATCCAGGATCAGTTTTACAGGCATTGCCTCCCTAGTGACTGTAGGGTGTATTGTCACACCGTGGTTTCCTGAACTATTCTTCTTAGGTATTTAGTGGTTTCCAGTATTTTCTGTCCCCAAGACTAATGAGTATAGTATAGTCTTTGGAATCCAATACACTAGGATTCAGATCCCAACTCTGTCACTCTCTAGCTGTGTGACCTTGGGGAATACACGTCATCTCTCTGAGCTTTGGTTCCTTTGCCAATAAAATGTTGGCGGTAATAAAAATACTACTTCTTAGGGAAGTAAAGGGATACTTATCTAAGCTTCACTTTTCTCATAATAAAAGATTTGGGACTGGGGTCCTTACGTACTAGGAGTCTCTGAGTCTTGGCTCTGATAGTTTTGATACCAAAGGTGTTTGGAAGAGACAGAGGTGCTTATATTGAATAAAGAAGACTTCTTGGTGAATGTGGTGCTGAGCTAGGGCTCCAGTGTGCATTCCATTGGACTTGATCTAGCTATCCATCTGGAAAGTTTATTTTGCCCTGCCTTTGCCCCTTTACTCTAAACTTGGATTTTTTCATTAATGCCTATTTCATCAGGCCTTGTGTTGTATTGGCTGTATTGTGATGAATAGATTCTGCTCTGACTGCATGCTTCCTTGCAGTCTGTGCGGACTGCAGAGTCTGATCTCCCTGTTTGGAAAAAAGCAGTGCTGGAGTTTGCACTCGCTATTCCCAAGCTGATGACATAATATATGACCATTTCGAAAAGCTTGAGGTGCATGGCTTCAACCACGAAGATGCCTGGGATATATCTACCATTTCAGTTTTTTATGCCATGTCTAACTGCCTTGCTCATTTTGTCAATCTTCTTCCTGACAAATAATTCTATTTGATGGATGGAACTAATGATGTCAAAGATATCAGGAGTGAGTAAGTTGTCCTCAAAATATAAAAGGCTGAACAGAAAAGCCACTGTTTACATTCCAGGCGTGTTGCCTTAGAAGACATCAGTTGGGAAGTAGGTTTCGTTTGTGTGGTTTTTTTTTTTTATAACATCTAGTCATTGGACAGGAAAGAATTAGTAAATTGCTCCCTGTTTGCTTGATGAGATACATCCTAATTGTTGGGGGTATCCAGGGACATGTGATACCTGAGGCTACGGGAAACCTTTGCTAATTGTTAACTTCTGTTGCGATCTGAAAAAGAGCATCAGGAGCAAAGGAGTTCAGAGGATGCTTTGACATTTCTGGTGAACTGATATCTGTGAATTTCAGGAACTTAGGTTGGAATTATTTTTTGTTTTCAAAAATACTGTTACATAGGAATTGATTTTTATAGACTGTGATTTGGAATCAATTCCTTGTTAAATGGTTGTATTTATCCTTGGTTGATGTGGTTCAGCGGATTGAGTACCAGCCTGTGAACCAAAAGGTCACTGGTTCAATTTTTAGTTAGGGCACATGCCTGGGTTGCGGGCCAGGTCCCCAGTTGGGGGCATGTGAGAGGCAATCAATCATCAATGTTTCTCTCTCTCTTTCTCCCACCCTTCCCCTCTCTCTAAAAATAAATAAATAAAATCTTTAAAAAAAATCCTCCAGATGTTCCCTTGGTCACCAAATGCAAGCTTTCTGCAACATAGCTCTTGATCAAGGCCTAGAAGAGTTGTCAGTCCCCATATGTACCCCACCAGGTACCTCGAGCTCTCCTTTATTGAAGACTCTCCTTCCCTTCCTCAGAAACACCCAGTTCCTGTTAACCCTTTTCTGCAGAGTTCTTTGTTTTTATCTTCAACAGCAGTGGTGAAGGGCCTTGCATCTCTCTTGCCCTCCATGCCCTGCCTGGCAGATGTAAGCGGAGTTGACCCTGGGTTCTGGTGAGTGTAAGGTAGATTTGATTCAGGTCTCTAGCTCCCCTTTAAATTGGCTGGGTATACATGCTCCTTCCTTCAGAGAGGAAGGTTTTTGGCCTTGATAAAGTCTTGGCCAGTAACTGGGAACTGGGCAGATATTCAGGACACCAATCTGCCTTCATTTCCTGTACCAGCCACGGGCCTTTAGTGCAGAAGTTACCCGAGTCCTTAGACTCCCAGGCTGAGCAGGCAGTATACTATGACACTCACTTTGTGTGACCTGCACCTACAATGGCAATTTCTTCCCTTCACTGATCTCAGTGTTGAGGGGGACAACAGTACATAACCACGCCCAGCCTCTTCGACTAGTCAGACCCACGCACCCGTAGCCACACACAGCCACTGACAACTATAGACTGACGGTCGCACACGGAGCACAGATGCTAACTGTCCCATACAATCCGGGCCCTGGGCATCCTTAGTAGTACACACACCGCGGTCGTTCAGTGTTCCTGCTTCCGCGGTCCCCAGCGGATGATAGCCGAGGGGCGGCGCTGGTTTCCCAGCCGGCGTGGTTAGGCCGCCGCGCGCCGGAAGTGGCGGCGGGAGCGGGAGCGCTGAGCTGTAGGCCGGCGGGGCAGCAGCCCGTAGCCGGGGGCGGGGGCGTTGGTCATGTTTCCCTTCGGGCCCAGGAGCCCCGGAGGGGACCGGGCGGCCGGATCCGGGGCTGAGGAGCCGGCATCTCACGAGGGACGGGCGGCCGCTGCCGGGCCGCTCCTTTCCCCGCCGGTGCCGCCACAGTCCGGGGCTGTCGCAGCCCCTCCCCCGTCGCCCCGCGGGAGCCCTCGCAGTCCTGGCGGCCCCTCGCTGTCCCCGGCCGCGCGCGCTGGGGAGCTTGGGCAGTCCGGAGCTCTGGAGTTCTCTGCTGCTTCCGCCCAAGGAGAGCCGTCACAGTCTTCGCCACCGCGCCGGAGACCCGGGCCAGACTGCAGGGCTGGAAGCCGGGGCCGGCACGGCCTTAGCGCCAGCCTGAGCGGCCCTGGCGCCCGGCTCTTTGGGTGGCTAAGAGAGCGCAGCCTGGGCCGCGGGCTGTTCGTGGACCCGGCGCGGGACAATTTCCGCACCATGACTAACCTCTATGGTTCCATCCATCCCGCGGACTCGGTGTACCTCAGCACTCGCACCCACGGTGCCGTCTTCAACCTCGAGTACTCGCCCGACGGGTAAGCGCGGCCCCTCGGAGGGCGGGTACCCGCCTCCGCCTGGCTTGGCTGCCCAGGGTTCGCTGGCTCGGCCGGGGTCGGGCTGTGCGTGTCCGTTTGGGACTGCTGGCCTTCCTGCCCCGGGCTCTTTCTGAAGTGCTCTATCGCTGTCGGAGGCCCCAGTCGGCCCGTTGAGCTAGGCCGCCCGGGGCCTCACTTGCTCACTTTCAGGACGCCCAGGCTCTTTGTAGGGGAACGACTTAAAGCCGCATCGGCAGGTCTGTCACAGCCAGTGTAGAACTGGGGTCTTCTGGCACACAGTAAATGCTCAGTAAATACACTGAATAAATGCCCATTCTTTCCTTGTCACCCTAGGCTTGCGGTTTTCTCACGTAAGCTTGGTCTAGGGTAGAAAGCCTGCAGGTGCCCTGTATGTATCCGGTGACTGACTTGTCCAGGGGGGACAAGTATGCATTCCTTTGCTCCAGTGAGATGCTAAGACACAGCCGAGAAGTGTCTTAGGATGGACCTTGCGAAGTTCCCAGGCTCCTTTTAAGGGGGGCCAGCCTTTTTCTGGCTGATTAAATATTTATGTTTGTCCTTGATTTACTTTGGGCCAATTTTGAATATGTATCTTTTTAAAACTTAGTTTTGTGAGTGTACGAACAACTTTAACAGCAATCAGTGGAAAAAAATTTACACACTGTTCCATGATGAGGCGACATGATTAATGGAACTCTTATCCAATCAAGGCCTCTTGATTTCTAGTCATTTGCTTCGTTCTTCATTCATTGCTTCATTCAGCAAATAATTGTTGACTACGCGTATGTTCCAGATGTAGAGGTTGCAGTAATAAGCAGAACCCGCCAATGGCACCTCTTTTATTGAGCTTGGGACCAACTGGTTCAGCTAAGTGTTAATAACCATGGCAAATAATTCACAGTGTATATTTACAAATTGAGAATAGGGTGTTTGAGGTTTTCCTGAGGAAGGGACACTTAATGAAGATCAGAGAAATGAGTAGAAGATGAGTTAGTCAAGATAAGGTTGGGGAGGGGATAGAAGTATTTCAGATGGAGGAACTGGTATGTAAAAGGACCTGTGCTGAGGGGCAGCCTATCCTGTCAGAGGAGATAGATAAGCAAAACAAAAAAAATTTGCTAAAGAAAGGCCTAAAATATTCTGAGGAAGGAACAAAGCACCAGAATCTGGAGTCACAGTGAACAGGTACTATCTATTCCATTTCACTGATGCAAATGCTTCTCCTTAATTACATTTGGTGCTGGGGTCTCCTTATAGCAGTTGGGTGGAACTCGTAGCAATGAATGTGCATCAAATATAGGGAAAATTGGTGAGAGAAACTGTTTTGCAGAAGTTTATTCTTGGACCTCCTCGCTCTTCTCTTTTAACCAAGCCCTATTCTTTAGGTTCCTCCCAAAATACCATGAGTCTGTTCCTTGTAAACATTCAGTTCCTCTCTTCCCTGTCTCCTACCTTTTCTGTCAGGCGTTCAGAAGCAGCCATTTGGAGATGAGATTATAGGTAGAAAATGAGAGGGATAGAATGAGTTATGATGAAGAAATTCCATTGCCTAATGATATTAAAATGAGGAGTATATTACTGATAGTTCTTGTGTGAATCTGGACTACATTTGTCCATAGAAACATTAGTGTAAAAAGTGGTTAGGTACTCTGATACTTAAAACAATTCAATAATCTTTAATTACCCAGTTAATATATACTTATTATAGAAAATCTAGGCAATAAATGAACAAAAAGAAGCTAAACAAAACTTACGATACCAGAGATTAATTGGATATCCAAGGACATTTTTTCTTTGTGTATGTATATTTTAATATAAACGTGGAATCATGCTGTTTTGTAGCCTGATTTTTTTCATACAATATATTGTGAATTACCTATGTTAATATATCTATTTCTATAACATCATTTAAAATTTTTATTAGTTTGAATAAAGCCTCTATAAACAAATATTTTAGATTTATATCCTTATAATAAATCCCTGAAATGAATTAAAGGTTATGAAGATTTTGGATACCTGGTATCACATTGTTCCCTGTGAAGACTATACCAGTTCTCAATTGTATCAGACACATATGAAAGTGCTTCTCTCTCCTTACCCTTGCCAACATTGCGTATAGCAATTCTTTTTCATCTGTGTTATGGTGAAAGGTGAAAATAGTTTAGTGTTTTAATTTTTTAGTATCTTACTACATCTATTAATATAACCCAAATTTTTATAGGACTGAAAATTTTTAGAAAAAAATGATGTATCTGTGTTAAATGAGATAATTTCTTATATCCTTCAATTTTATATGAGTTAAATCAACTTAATGGGTACCATAACCACTGTCACTTACTTTCAGTACAGAGAAGAAGAGGTGACACAGAAGGTAATAATTAAAATTATAAATTTAATAGAGACTGGACTAGAATTTGGCACTAAAAAATAAATGAAAAGATACATAGATTAGGAGATAATTTCTAAAGAAACCCAAAAATGTTTTAAGCAGTAGTCATATTGTCAAATAAGTGTATTACCTCCTAAAATGACATTTTGAAAAAGGACATTTGATAATATTAATAGATTGGAGAGATAATAATATGTGGGACTTTCTCAAGCAATTCTGTGAGAATATATTAGGCATTGCTGAAGAGGGAATTAATGTATTGGAAAATAGAAGTGAAGAAATTATTCAGATTGTAGATGAAAGACACAAAGACTGAAAATAGAAAGAAGCTTTGGTGACATGATGAATAGAGAGAAAAAGCATACCATATATTTGATCAGTTGCTGAAGAAAATGAGGTATTGAATAGATAAGATAATGCCTATTTGAAGAGATAATAGGTGAGAACTTCCCAGCATTGGGGAAAAAAACACTAAGCCATGATTTAAGAAGCCCAGCATTCCTGAGCAGGAATCCTTCCTAGACATATAATGACAACAAATATAAAATCTTAAAAGCTAGCGAAAAAGACCTTCAAAGCAGTAGTTATAAAGGCAATTAGTCAAAAATAATAGTGTAAATCAGAGGACAGTGGTGATTATTTTTAGTATACTGGGGAAAAAACCCTGCCAATTTAGATGTCTATATCCAGCAAAGATGGGTTCTTTGGCTCTTGTCAAGAACGAAGATGAAATAAATACCATTTATATAAGCAAAGCTGAGTGAATTTGCTACCAAACCTTTAAAAATGGAATTCTAAGTTCAAAGAGAATAAAATGTATTCAAATGGAAGGTCTGAGATGGTCAAAGGAATGAAGAACAAAGAAAATGGAAAGTATCTATGTAAAACTAATTTTGTCTTTTGGGATTAAAAAGATTGAACTAAAATAGAAGAAAATAGCATATAAATTATGAAGGAATATTCTAAATTCCTTATGTTTTTTGGAGGAAGAATTATGATACTTTAGGTTTTAATAAAGTTTACTGTGCATTTTAAAATTTGCAAGGCAACCACCAAAAGAGAAGAAATAATATATTATTTCTAGACTAGTAGAAGAAAAAGGTGGAATAACAAAAATTCTGAAAGAGGGTAAGAAAGGGAAAGAGAAAATAGAAAAGGTATAATAAATAAAAAGCACAAAGAATGGCTAAAAATAAATCCATATTTACTAATTAATAATAAATATAGAGGTACTGAATGTTCAAAATGATAAAGATTATTCAAACACATTTTAAAAAGAAATTTGGTGAGCTTTATTAATGTCATATAAAATAGGCTTTAAGGGAAAAAAAATTACTAGAAAAATGTAAGGTCACTACACAATAAAGAAGCTCTACTCACCTGGAAAACAGTTATAAACTTGAGTAATTCTTTTAGATTTAAAATACATACCTCAAAAATTGTTAACTTCAAGGAGAAAACAGACAAATTTATCATAGGGGAAGATTTTCATACACATCATAGTATATTTCAGTTAATCAGACAAATACAAACATAGGAAGGATTCACAAGATATAAACAACACTACTTACAATTTTGCTGTAAAGGGCATATATAGAATGCTGCATTTAGGCCTGCTATTCAGCTAGTACACATTGGTTCAGCAGTACCAGTTGTTAAAGTATTGCTATAAGTCCATAATAGTTGAATGGTTACTGCCCGGAGCCCACTGAGTGCCCTCTTAATGCTTCAGCACCTTCCATGGGACCTCCCAGAATAATCCTTTACATAGTAACTAAAGAATTCAGAACTGGCACAGCAAGCTGCCAACAAATATCTCACTGGAGAACTGTCCGCATCCATTCTAATTGCTTTTCTCCCATGCCAGGTACTCTCCCACTCAAAAAAACAGATCCATAGACAAATGCCCATTGGCTTCTCTTAGTGTGGGGCCACCTGCCTTTATCAGGCACCCTTCCACTTTCATGTAGTCATTTATAAATGAGAACTGCAGCCTCTGGGAAGAAACAAATGAAGAGAGCAGTCGAATGAGAGTAATAGTACTATTGCAGGCACCATCCAAACATGAACTCGTGGCATACTGTGCACTTCCATGGCAGGACAGAATCTATAGCAGATGAATGAAGCCTAAGGGGATGGTTTATGGATAAATGACTCCTGGGATGCAGATTGCTGATTTTATTTTTCCTATTGAATTTCTCTATTATTTAGTGGGATAATTTTGCTAAAACTCACTGAATACCTGCCAACCATGGGCATTAATAACACTAATTTTATTAATGAAAATAGCTACCAACGTAAATCTCTATACCAGATACATTTAGCTGAGTGAGCTAAGAAACAGAAAGGTCATATACAAAGGGTTTGTACCCTGGCTTATGCACATAACTGTGGTATTACATTACCTCTCATCTGGGATGAGGGATTAAGTTTGATATGATTAAATATGATATATCAGTAAACTACTTTTGTAACTTAGTAACTAATTAAATACATATTGAGTACACAAAATTTACAGCAAGCATTATAAAGACAAAAAAATTTAATATGCTTACTGTTACTTCAGCAGAGGTTAAAAAGAGGATTCAGCCCCATGAACAACTCTGTTGATGTTACTAGTGTTTTTTCTTTTTTTTTTTGTAACTTATCAAGACTACAAGTTTTGTAATGACTACCTATTTAATGTGGAAATTCTTGGAAGGGTTTTATGCAGTTTTCTACGTCCATGGTTTAGACAAAGGCATCTGAATGAAACAAGATTTTGGCTACAATTTCCAAATATTAATAAATGATTGAAAGTTACTAAAATAATTTGATGAACAATTTGACTTACAACTAATATCATTTGGAAAGCATTTTTATAATCTATAGGTTTATTAAGACAATGTTTTACATTTTATTCATATGTTAATTTATATTACCAATAAATGTTTAACATTTTTGAATACCACACTTGACTATATATAGATATATATATATATAATAGCTACCTCTTGTTTTTTTTTAAACACACAAGGGAAATTTATAAAATTTTCACTTAAAAGGCCACGTGTTTCAAAAGATTGTCATAGCATACAGTTTCTCAGTACAATGTGATTGCTATTAATTAATAGCAACAATAACTTAAAAAACTCATGTGTTTTCAAGTTAAGAAGGATTAATGAGCCAAAGGAGAAAGAACAATGGAAATTAGAAATATTTAGAACTAAGTGATAATGGAAATAACCACGTGTCTCAAAACTTGTGGGATAGATATAAGTAAAACAGTTCTTAATAGGAACTTAAAGACTAATAAACTGGAATTGAAGACAAGGAAAACTAATGAGCTAAGTATCCATCTCCAAAAAAAATAGTTATCTGCAAATAATAGCAAAGTAAATCTGAAGAAAGGATAAAGAGGAAATTTGGTAACAAAGAGTAGAATTAGTGAAATTTTAAAATTCAATTGCACTGCCCAACTGAGAGAAAAATTTGTACTTGAAAAGACAAATAAAATTGGGAAAAATTCATTGATCAAGAGAATGCCCAACTAAATAATATTAAGAAGGAAAAGGGCAGTACAACTTCAGATGCAAAAGGCAGATATTGTAGCTTTCCAGAAGTAGCAAAGTAGATCGTTTGGTTTCTGAGAAAAATTGTAAAAACTAGAGAAAATGCAAAATATTTAGTCTAAGATAGACAAACCTTGTTTGGAACGCTTTGGAAAATTGAGACAATGAGGAAATTTTAGGGCCAAGATCTGTGGAAAGAGGGAAGCCAGAGATGTGAGCTCGCTATTTTAGTCAAATGTATCTGGCAATATGGTAGACATGAAAGGGTGATTTGACATTAGAAAATAAATTAATGTAAATCACTTCAATAACATCCTAAAGGAAAAACATAAGATAATTTCAATTAATATTGGAAAGTGTTTCATACATTTTAACATATATTAATGAAAAAAAGAACCTTAGCAAATTTGTTGTAGAAGAGGGCTTTCTTAATCCAAATAATAGGAATTTGATAGCAATTACTTTTGATAAAGAAATACATAGTTTTGTTGTATAAGATCTTTTTCCTCTGAGTTGCCTCATGTATGCATGCTTTTCTGCACCCAGCCATTTTCATTTAAAAACGTGTTTTGGAGTTCTTTTAAATATCATATCCATATACAGCTATCCCTTTCTTTTCAAAAGTTGTACCATATTGCAAAGTGTTGAGTACCATGACTTATATAATCAATCATTCCTTCTGTGTACATTTAGGTTTCTTCCAATTTTTTCTTACAATGAAGCATATATTCTTTGTATTTATGAACGATTGTGTCTCTGGCTTAGATACTTAGAAAAAAAATTGCTGAGTCAAAAGGTATGCACATTTAAAATTTTGATAGATACTGCTAATCTCCAAACATAAACTGTACGAGTTTATACTCCACCATAATATATGAGAGTACCATTTTCTACTAATGCCAATAATGGATAGTGTCAATATTTTAAATATTTGCTACTAACATGAGCAAAAGAATTATTCACTTATAGTTTATGTAATTATAAATAAATGAGTATCAAGAACCAGAGAATGCTAGAAAACTAAACAAGAGAAATATGTCATTTGCTTTCAGGTCAGTGCTGACAGTTGCCTGTGAACAGACCGAAGTTCTCCTTTTTGACCCTATTTCATCAAAGCACATAAAAACACTTTCTGAAGCTCATGAAGACTGTGTTAATAATATCAGGTTAGTATTATGGTGAAAAAGTGTGACCCAAAATACTCTGTTTTGGAAGTTTGTGAAAATGTGTAATGCCTAGTCCAGCAGTGCTAGATGATACACATTTGTGAACTGTGAATCTTACCCCTTGTGAAACTTATCCTTTTAATTATAAAACTTACTGTTAACTATTTTGAATTGGAATCTTTCTAAAATGCATTTTTTCACTTTCATGTGATTTTCTTTTTCTTTTCATATGTTAGGGTCATAGTTATGAACCTGAGCCAGTATTATAATAGTCCTGTAATGCCTTTAGGCTAATGATCTGTGTAGAATTATGGCAGTCCTAATACTAAATGTGTTGCACCACGACCCCCAAAACTCATACTATTGAGGGGAAAAAGCACATATGCACAGAGAACTTCTTTATAGCATTGTTGGAAGCTCCTTAAATTCACAGTAATGTGGGAAGTAGATAACAATTGAACATCTTGGTGGATTAATATGCAGTCATTAAAATGATGGTCACAAAGACTACATGTCAACATAGACAAATGCTTGGGATAATATAGGTTAATATCATGATAAAAATTGTTCAAATATGACATGATGCAGAAGAAAAAAGATTAGTGGGAAATATTTTAAGATGCTAACAGTGGAAGAGTTAGAATGGATGGATTATGAGTAATTTTTCTATTTTCTAAACTTTACGTAAAGAGATCATATTTTTATAATTATTTTTAATTTTCAAAAAATACAAAAGAAATGTGGAAATTACTTTTAGTCAAGATGACATACTGAGTTTTAATGTAGCCCCTATGCTCCAAACACATAGAACAAAAGATTAAATAGCACAAAATATATACCCAGGCTGTGAAACAACAAAAAAAAATTTTGTGGGCCATAAATTGAACACAGACACAAAATAACCTGCTGGATTTAAACCACAATCCCACTGGGCTTTCAGTCTGGCACTGACATGCAGTCATTTGGCTCTTGTCAGGAATCAAAAGTCTAAACTACCTCACGTGAGGCAGAAACCACATAAAGCCAGGGTTTGGTTGAAATGTCTGTCTCATTTCTGAAAGGCTGAAAAATGGAAAAAGCTATTAACTGCCCAGAGCTATAGATTTTAGTTGATCAAGACACAGACTCATGACACGGAATTAATGAAGCCATTAATGGCCTAATGTGTATATGTGACAGCTCCAATATGCTCCATCATGAAACTGGAGGCCTTAATGTCATTATAAAGTCTAGTTGTGGATTAGAGGTCCAGAAATCCAAGTGGGGAAAACTATAAAACCATTAAATAGGAAGAAAGAGAGAAAAACAATTAAAAACCTTTCCTACTCAAAATGAATCTACAACCAAAATTCCAAAACTCATGAAGACATCTAATATTAATGTCATGACAAAATCAGTGATCAGAATAGGCATTTTCTCTGGATGAAATTAATTTTATGGAGTAGTCCAACAAAGACTTTATTTTTAAAAATAAATTATTTTATTTATTTTTTTTGACTAGGTAATACATGCACGTGGTACAAAATTCAAAGATACAAAAGGGTAAACAGTGAAAAGTAAGTCTGTCTCCCACCTCTGTCCCCTAGCCACCCAGTTCCCCTCCCCAGAGGCAACCACTATTACCAATATTTTGCTATCTTTTCTGAGATAGTTTGTGCATGTACAAGCATATACACACACATACATACACTTTTATATAAATGGTAGCATTCTACACATACTATTATGTACTTTGGCTTTTTTACTTCATAGCATATTTAGAAATCATTCCATATTAGTGTCCATGGGATGATCTTATTCTTTTTAACGGCTGCATAGTATTCCATTGATTGGAAGAAACTTTAAAGCATTTTTAGGATGCTCAAAGAAGTAAGTTAAGGGATACTTTCCATTTAAAGATAGCTCAAAAATTATGGAACAAAAGAGATGCAAGAAGAACAGGTTAATGTGGAAATGAACCAACTAGAACTCTTTGTAGTTGGTATATAAAAAACTTAGTAGATGGGATAAATTTATTCTTTACCCCATTGATGGCAGAATTAATGAGTTAGAAACTAAAAACTTCATTCAGAACACAGAAAAAAAGATATAAATATGAAAGAATAGTTAAAAGACATAGAGAATTAATTGAGAGACTCCAAAATATGTATATGAATTACCAAAAAAAAAAAGAGAGAGAAGATTTGTGGAGAACTAATTTTTGAAGACACATAGGTTGAGAATTGTTAGCATTGAAGAAGGACCTGAGTCATTCCATCAGGAGCAAACTCTAGAATGTCAGGTAGGTTAAACAAGAAAAGATCGACATCTAGACAGATTGTAGTGAAACTACAATGTCAAAGATAAAGATAAATATCATAAAAGCCATCAAAGTTGGAAGCCAGATGACCTATAGAGGCATGATAATTAAATTAATGAAAGGTTTCTTACCAGCAACAGTTGATGCTAGGAGAAAATGGAATATTATCTTAAATACTAAAGCAATACCTTATAACCAGGTTAACTGTTATTTTAGAATGAAGAATTTTAATTAGGTGAAATGGTAAATGTTATTAATTATTAATAGCAGAAAGATAATTCAGGGGTTTTGGGGGAGTGCACTTAAAACAAAATTAAAATTCTAGATTAGCACCATCAATAAAATTGTAATTCTGGCTCAACATGTAATTTAAAATTTTCTAGTTACATTAAAAAAGAAAATAGAAACATTTGAAATTAATTTTTAATAATGCATTTTATTTCACCCAGTATGCCCAAAATATTATTTCAGCATGTAATCAGTATAAAACTTATTGAGATATTTTACTTATATTTTTTCATGCTACATCTCAAAATCCAGTATGTATTTTACACTTAAGAGTACATCTCACTTCAGACTGGCCCCATATCAAAGATTCAACAGCCACATGTGCCTAATGGCTACCAAATTAGACAAAATAGTTGTAGAGAGTAACAAAAAATAGGTTGTATGTATAGGGTTGTTTTGGTCAGTGGGAAGGTATAACATGTTCATAACATGTTATGTTATAACATGTCTCTATTATGTTCAGGAAGAAATAGAAATATAAAGTAATTTCTGACTCAGAACAATATATAAATATATACAATAAAAAACTAAACTAAAAGTAATTAAAATAATAGAAATACAGTTCACAACTTTGAAACCAGCAGAAGAGGAGGGAAAAAAAGAATATTGAAAACTTGCTCAGTTCAGAAGACAGGCAAGCATAAAAAAGTAGATAAATAAAGTAAAGGAAAGGAAAGATACAATAAGTAGAAAATAAGAAGTAAAAATAGTTCCAAATGCATGTGTAGTTCACAGTAAGTATAAATGGATTGATCTTTGTTAAAAGACACAGAGACAGCAATTTGAATGAAAAACAAAATTATTTATATACTCTTTATAGAGACATCAAAAATAAAGACTGCCCAGAAATGGAAAAAGAAAACTGATGTAGGTTATCATTATTAGATAGATGGAAGACCAAAATCTTTAGTACGGATAAAATGCAATAGCAAATATTTTTTAAAAAGAAAAACCCACCAAGAAGATAAGTAATCATTAAATGGTATATAACTTGAAATATATGTGTACAAAGCAAAGATGGAATGATAAGGAATTACAAGTCTATAGTCATAGTGGGAGGTTTTAATACAGTTTTGTCCAAAACTAGTAAATCAAGCAGATAAAAACTAGGGTATAGAAGATAAACTAGAAATGCTGCATAAAATTTTAAACACACACGCATATATTATTTATTTATTTATTTTAGTGTGTAGGTGAGCTGATAAGAAAGGAGTCCTAGGGCCAAAAATGAAGTGGAAGCAGGAATGCAAGAAAATAAACGAGCATTCAAGCTGGGGGTTTTTTTTTGTTGTTTTCTTGGGGTTTTTTTGTTTTGTTTTTTTTACCATGGCGGCATCGGCCAAATGCTGATGACCTTGAGTTTCTGTTTTGATGTGTATGAGGAGTACAGAGGACAGGAGAGTTAATTCTGCAGCCTGTTGAAGGTGAGGAGTCTAGTAGAAAACTCTGCAGAAGGTTGGGGCTCCAAAGGGTATATTTTTAGCACAAAGGTGATCTAAAAAGAACTCATTGTGTTCATCTAGACTGTGGCATTGGGTACAGGGGTGTTAAAAATTCTCCATGAATTTCTAACCACAAGCCAGCCTTCAAGCATGAGTGGTGCCTAAATTCACATTATCACATGTTCCAAAAACAAATGCAAATCTTCTCTGGAGAAGAAAACTCAGTATCTTCTTGGGAAAGAAGTCAGTTCTTCCCAAATTAGTCTATATATTTAGTGCAGTTTTAATAAAAATATCAGCCTTTTTTTAAACTTGATTTTAAAATGAACAGCAAAGTGCCAAGAATATCTGAGACTATTTTAAAGAGGACTAAGATGGTGTGAGTACTCACCTCTCCCGATATCAAACATAGGCTTAGGACAAGGATAGATTAAGTGACCATCTGAATGGAATAGAGCTTCCTGAAACTTGACACATGATAGCAGGGGCGTTATAATCAGTGTGGGGGCAGGAGTGTGGAAAACCGAGAATTAGTAATATATATGAAAAAATAAAATAAAATTAGATTTTGGTCTCATACCCTAACTAGAAGTAACTGCCAGTTAGATTAAAGACTTGATTATAAAAGCAAACCTTTAAAGCTTTAGATGAAATATAGAATATATTTATGTTCGAAGTACGGGAAGGGATTTTGTAACAAAAAAAGCATAAACCATTAAGGATTAATAAGTTCAACTACATTAAAATTTAAAACTTTATTGTACCCAAAGACATAAGAGTATGAGAAGATAAACTAGGGGCTGGTGGGAGAAGATAGTTTCATTGCAAATAACTAAAAAAAGGATTAATATCCAGAATATATGAGACAATTATCCTGGAACAAAATAGGCAGAGAATTACATAAGAGAAACTAAAATGAGCAATAAAAATGAAAAGATTTTCAAGCTTACTAATTTATCATAGAAATGCAA